TATATGTTTTGAGTCATAGTATTGTCCAGTGCCAGGGGCGGACCCACATGGGGTCATGTGGGGTCAAATGACCCCACAGTTTTCCAGAATTTTTTTTTTTGGTGCTGAAAACTTAATTTTCTTTCCCAAAAAGTTCAAATTCTAAATCTATATCCATATCATATGGTCCATATCCATTATTTAGTCCATAAATATATCATATAATCCACCGATTTCTTCCCAAAGTGCAAATATCGAACATGAATAGCAAACAATCAATTTTTCTTTTTTGTTCATGATACGTTGTTCGAAAAAAAAATTTTGACCCCACAGTTCGAACGGTCTAGGTCCGCCCCTGTCCAGTGCAACAATTAGTTTACATGTAAAAATGGGTGGAATTTATGTAGTGACGTATGAAATATAATATATATATTCTACATTATCAATTAATTATATGAGCCTCCCGTTGATTGATTGAGGAATTATATATCAAAAGTAATGACAAATTATTTTGACATTTTTCAGTAGCAAAACAATTATCCACCCAAAGGCTAAAACTTCAAAATTGATCGTTGTTTTGTCCTTTTATTCTTTCATTTCATAAGTGTTTTTTATTTTTGGGAATTCAATTTGCTCTTTTTAATTTTTTGTGTGTTGGTGATGATTTTTTATTTTTTGTATCCAGAGCTGTAAAAAGATCGACATTTAGCCCATGTTTAGTTTCAATTCTTTCCTCATTAAAATGAAAAATATGACCGTTATCTATCACATCAAGCTACCATATTTGAATTTTTATTTCTTATATGGGGCCCATAACGATTATATTTTTTATTCTCATTCTTCTAAAAATGATAAACAAACGGGGGCTTAGTGTCCCAAAAAGTTAATTTTGATTTATTTCTTTATTTATGTGTTTTCATTTGGAGTTGAAACTTACGTCAAATTAAAGATCATTGATGTTAAAGAGTGTGTCACGATGTTATCCTTGCACTCCAATTTGAATGATGTTCATTGTTGAATTTTGTTGTTCAATTGAGTACTTCCAAAAAAGTTCCTTCAATTTTACCCATTTTTTGCGCGAAATCTAGCTTTAACTTAATTGACCCAATATAGGTATTTTATGCTTCTAATTGCTAGAAAACTATGGAATCTTGTGCATGAAATTATGAGTGTAAAATGAGCTGAGAGCAAAAAAAATACGTCGTCAAAAAATAATTAATTTTCAAATGATGAGAGAAATTTGGGGAATCGCAAATTTTAATGTATTGAATACGATAGTTAAGGATTATCTAGATTGTTTAAAAGTCAAAATAATGAAGTTTGACCCAACAAACACCTTGAGGGGGGGGGGGGTGAATATGTGTTTATGTGGAATTTATACTTACCAATAAATAAATGCAATAAATCACAATTATTAATTTGCATACTACCCTATATTGAAATATCGTAGTTTAATAAATTGTAGAAAAATAAACAATAGAGGAGAATTGTTGACGGAGAAAACCCCTTGCTGGATTAAAAATTTTGGGCCCAAGTCAGTATAAATCTACTATAAACGAATAAACTTACAGTACAATCAAACTTGATTAACTTTAGTACTTTTTGGCCTCCTTACTGTAATCACCAAAGCCTCCTAGATTGCATGTTCCTGTATAAACTCCCAGCTTTCTGAATTTGTTTATCTCCTATGGATTTTTCAAGAACTCTTCGTTCTTCAACAACCAGAACTCTGATCACTTTACATGATCTTCAAAACCCTGACAGATTCAGTGGAAGTGTATTTTTAGGTGTTTGATTTCTGTGTTTTTGATGTTTATCAATAATATGGCTCAATGAATTTTTGGATTGAATAGCTTGTGTGAGGGTAGAAAGAAATTTTTCAAGTGGTTCAATATTCAATATGTGTGTTCTATGAGGTGAGGAGCAGGTATTTATAGTTTGGATGTTTTGGATAGTATGGACCTATTAAAATACTTTAAAAAACACGAAATAGGATTTCTTGGAATACACTGTTACTCGAGCGAGAGTTCAGCGACATGCGAGCGATGATGTTCCGCTCGAGCGATAGTCAGACGGCAGACTAGCAAAAATCCAGCAAAATTATTTTGTTTCACTGACGACCCCAATGACTTTTAACATATCTAAATAACCTACCGCATGACTCTTTGATTTTTTAACACATTTTTACATCAATATATTTGTCACAGGCTGCCAACAACTTTAAAACCTAATAAAAAGACATGAAGTTGCTTGTTAATTAATTGTTTGCCTTTTTAATGATTTATATAATTTTTTATTTTATGTTATTGTTTGCTCGGCTTGGAAGGTTCCTTTGTTGTTATCTCCTTCGCCAAAACGTATGCTCCAATTTCTGACTTGCTTAATTTTGATTAGTTCATCATCTACGTGGGTTTCTTACGTAAGATCAATTCTTATTTGTAGGTATTTGTTTGCCTTTTCATTTCCTTAACCCCCTCAAGTACTTAGTTGGGCTACGTAGTTAATTTGCGATAATTTATAATAAGTAATATTAAATTGAATTGAATGAGAAACTGAATCATATTGCTTCGTAAGGGAATAGTAATTGATTTGTTCTATACATCCAAACCAGCTTCGTGGTGCACTCAATCAAAATGAGTATCTACATTTATTATATTCTTTTCTCTTGCTTTTGATAATTCGTTTTCCTTCTTAGTTACCACTTCTAGTGTTAACTTTTTTTATTCTATTGCTCCATATAGCGCACAAGAATAAAGGAATCATTGAGCAAGTGGAGGACGTGTAACAAAATTTTGAGTAGGGCTGGATATAGTTCGATTCGATTCGGTTTTAACAAGAACCGAATTGGACCCGAAATTTTCGGGTATTTGATAAGTGGAACCGTCAGGTCCAAATTTAATTATAGAACTGTTCGAGTTCGGTTCCTAAATTCCGTATTATGATTAAATTTTTTAATATTTACAAAGTTACATTAACCCAACTAATAATATGTACAATCTTAACTTTTACGAAATAACATAGTTCAATCTATATGTCTTTTATGTCTCTCTTTGTCGAGTTCTTCATAGATTTGATTGTTAAAATCACAGGAAGATGCAGATAGCAAGCTCAAAATAATTAAGAGAGGTGTTGTCGAGTTTCAATTCGATTTCTCCAAAATGGTAGAAACGACACTACAATAGAATAACGGATTTGGATAAAACTTAGATCAATTTGATTAAATTGACTTTGAGATGAAAACTAAAGATAGAAAAATTTTATTTTTTGGTTTGAGATAAATTAACTAGTTAACAAATTTATTTAGAAAAATAAAATAATTTAGCTTCTTTAAAATAAATTAATTTAAAAAATTAGGAGATTCGATTCTTATTCAGTTATTCCATTCCTGATGTACAATAGAGAACCGAACCAAACACATTAATTCTCGATTCAAATACCCATTCGAGTATTTAACTCAAGAAAATCGCTTAGTTCGATTCGGGAGTTTTTTCCAACCCTAATTTTGAGGAAAACATGGCATTTTTCGGTCCATATGTGTTACATGATTGTTTTCTATTTTTGTTGTGGAATTACTGACTGATTAACATGATTTTATTTAAAAGTGACTTCGTCTTATTTGATTGTTCACTTATATATGACAATGCTACATTTTGTGTTGTTATATTAATCTTTCAAGTATAATGATATTTAAACCTTTTGACATAGTAATTGGTGTATTTGAAAGTACAATTTGTTGTTATGATCCACACCTGTATTATTATTGAGACTATGAAATTTTAATAATGTTTGATTTTGATCGAGTTTGTTTAAGTAATGATGTTTAAATATAAATAGGTAGAAGTTACATTCAATGACATATCAATTATGGATCGTCTTAAAATCTATGTTCAATGAGGAGTTTGGGTTTTTTAAGGTTTTCATAAAAACTTTTATTCATATATATTCTTTTAAAATTTATATTTTTCTTTAGCAATATTAATTATCTCAACTACTTTAAAAAATAGTGTAAATTAAAAATATTATGCATATCATTCATCAGATATAAGATGTACAAAGCATATTCTTACTACTAGTTATTTCAAATGTCGACATCAATTCTATCAAAATTTGACGAAGGCTAAATATAATTAACGAAGATAACATGTGAAATATTTATCATTATCCTATTTAAAGGTTGCATAGTGAAAATAAATAAATTGATTCTTTTAATGAACGTCCGTAAATTTTTCTTCTTCTTCTGCCTTTTTTTTTTTTTTTTTTTTTTTTTTTTTTTTTTTTTTTCCTTTTTTTTTTTTTTTTTTTTTATAGTGAAAATTACATATATATACTATATTTGAAACATTATTTTAAAAGATATTTAAACTATCTTTCCATATTTTGTTCCCATTTTAATTTAAATAGGACATTTATTTAGTTAAATGAAATATCATTATAAACTTTTAGAATAAGTTCAATTGAAACCTAGAAACAATTATATCTTGAAAGAATTGTATGTGCATTTTTGTTTTGTTTTGTTTTAAATAAGATTAAAAGTAGCCTGTTAATCGACAATGATGGCATTCGAGTGATTTGGAATAATTTAATAAAATGATTAGAAAAGAAAAAAAAATGCATTGAGTTTTAATAATTTGTAATTTGATCCGATAGACTAATTCGATATTGAGTCCCTCTGTGATTTAACTATAAATTAGATTTTAATAAAAGTCAATGAAAAATATAATTAAATAATTATAATATTTATAGATTTCATTAAGCCCCATTTGGTATTGCTTTAATTTAAAATTTAAATCAAAGTCAAACAATTAATATTAACCACAGATTTTATGAATTTCACAACTTTTTAATTACACATTTCAAAAAATTCTATCAAAATTTATTAAAAATCTAATTTTAATTCTTACCAAATAGAGTTAAATGTATTATTGAAAATAAATTTTATGAAAAAAATATTACGCATATGATGATGTCATAGATTCTGATGGAATCACGCATTTCCTTACTAATAAAACTAGGGGCAGTCCTCTTTCTAGATTCTATCGATAGAGAATCGTACTGATTCTCTACTCGCTGACTCGGTCGATCACCACCGAGTCAAACTCAGTCCCGACCTTGAACTCGGTCCCTATATATACTGCATTATATAGATCATCTCTCACTGTAAAACAGCTTCTTCAACTCCCCAAATATTTAGGCTCTTTTTTCATAAGATGGGTCTCTCAATTCTTCAAGTATTATTCTTTGCCGCTATTGGTTTTTATTTTTTATTTTTCAATTTATTTGGGTTGATTAGTCATTTATTTTTGGGCATTTTGTTTGGAAATGATTAGGGGTTAACGAAGTCACTGGCGATGACTGTAATATCGGAGATCGGTGACAAGACATTTTTTGCAGCTGCTGTGAGTTCATAACTTGATTTTTACTGCAAAAAAAATGCTATTTTTGATCAGTTTTATAGTGAAATTGTCAATCTTGTTTTATGTGGAAAAAAAAAAATTAAGGATTTTCTAATCAGAAATATATCTGTCTTTGTTTTCATTGGAAGTAGATAGAATCTGCTACTCCGAATCATTCAATTAGCCTGAAGAATCTTTTATATCTTTATATATGTTTGTTTCATATTATTGGGATTGAATAAGGTTGATGAGTTACTTTATCGAATTGATTTATTGATCTTTTCTGTCATGTTGTGGTGGTTAAAAATAGTATGATTCTCTATCTTTTCTCTAATTGTTCTCTTAGATGGTAGTTAGTCCTTACAAATTCGAAGAGGGTTGAAGCAGGTGAGACATTCTAAGATGTACTGAATGGAAAACAGGGAAGTGCTTCACATGGTTCTCCAACTTATCATAAAAGATGTCAATTGATATTAGAAATATGTTCTCAAGAATTCGATTTTTGAGTGAACTAGATAAATGTAAGGAGGATTCTCTTGAGGAACTGTGACTAAATTTGGAAATGCTATATTCAATCATGAAGTTGTATCATACATGATATTAGGATTATGTTTCCTCCAGTAATATCTTTCCTCAGGATCAGATGAATGTTAGCATTTTCTTGAGCAATGGAAGAACCCACATAAGCCCTTTGAAAGAAAAACGAGCAATCTCTGTTATTTTTTTACCCTTTAGAGGCTAATTGAAGATAACAGTGTGCACTGTGCAAATAAACAAATGTTTCTACTTGCCATGATTGTTTGGGATTCAGTCACTTTTGTGGTTTAACTGATTGATCTTCTTGTCTGTTTTGGAATGCCTTTTGACTTCAGAATGACTTCATTCGATTTCATTTTATTTTATTTTTTTATTTTTTATGTTATTGCCTTATAGCAGGAACTGAAAACTATCATATTTTTCTTAGAGACGTAATATTTTTTGAGAATAAGAACTTTTTTTTTTTTTAAAATAAAATTTCAACTAGACTTCCATAACTTTTAGAGATGTAATGATTTTTTGGAGAATAAGAACCCTTTTATATATATATATATATATATATAAGAATGACTTCATTCGATTTCATTTTATTTTATTTTTTTATTTTTTATGTTATTGCCTTATAGCAGGAACTGAAAACTATCATATTTTTCTTAGAGACGTAATATTTTTTGAGAATAAGAACTTTTTTTTTTTTTAAAATAAAATTTCAACTAGACTTCCATAACTTTTAGAGATGTAATGATTTTTTGGAGAATAAGAACCCTTTTATATATATATATATATATATATATATATATATATATATAATTTCAACTAGACTTCCATAACACTGTGCCAAGGTTTTGATGTCATCTGACAAGATTATTCTTGTTTCTAGATATTGGCAATGCGCCATCCCAGGAGACTCGTGTTGTCAGGTTGCCTTGGGGCTTTAATAGTAAGATTTGTCTTTTTCATTTATTAGTTATTCTGGTGATTATCCAGTTTCTAATATCTTGAAACATTCAAATAACTGAAAATATGTTCTGATTTATTATAGATCATGACTATCTTATCTGTTCTTGTTGGCTGGGCAGCTCCAAATCTGGTAAGAGTGATCTACAAGTTCATATTTTCCAAGGGACCTGATGCTGTAAAGATATTGGATATTTGCTTAGTTTAATCCAGATGTCATACCACCCAATACCTGACAAACTTTAACTGTTTAAAATTTTTTTCATGTGAAGTGCAGTAAAAGAGCTCTTAATAGTGTTAAAATTTTTTTCCCCCTGTCCCGTCTTCCATCACTTTAGGGAACACATTTGCTTTTTAGTGGCCCATTTAATCCATTTATGAAATTGTTAATTCTTGTGTTTCCAGTTAATACTATGCTTCCTTTATGCCGGTAGTTCTCAAGTCATTATACATGCTGGTGCTATTTAAATGTTCAAACAAGCTCAAGCTTTGTTCTGCGCATTTACATTGTCAAATGTGGTTGCTTTTTAGGCTTGGACAAAGAATGACAGGATACTGGAGAAAATATTTATTTATATCTATATTTGTTTAGAGCATACTATCACCATTCTTCTTTTCATGTTAGTTATTGTCAGTTGTCATGGTTTTATGATTTGCTCACTGGTGCACTGCAATTGTAAATTATGTAGATCTCCCGTAAATGGACTCATCATATCACAACCTTACTGTTTATGGGGTTTGGTCTCTGGTCTCTATGGGATGCATATAATGAAGGGTACTGCTTTTTCCTTCTCTTCCTTACGTTATTATCCTGTTTCAATTTTAGTAGACATGAAACCATCACCATCAAATGGTTGCTCTATTAATAAAATCATGTCTATTGTGTTTCACTTCCGTACAGGGAAGCAGAAGAATTGGCTGAAGTTGAAGCAAAATTGGTTTGTTCATTTATATTTATTTATTTATTTTTGCTTCTTTTCCTTTAGGATATCCCCTTCATTGGCTTTGACTTCTGCTGATTTCATCTTTTTTGGCATGAACAGGGTGGTGATGTAAAAAGTAATGGTGGATCATCCAAAGAGAACAATAAGGTGTGTCTTACAGTATTCATCTTTGGCCCAGTCTGTTGGTTCTATATTAATGCTACACAACCCTTTGCAAAGAGACCTGTGCTAAAGGAAAACGGAAGTTACTTGTTTTTGGATAAAAGTGGTTATGATAATGTTAAGGAGTTTATAAGTAGCTGCACTTCCACATTATCTATTACATTCCTGTTACTTCAGGACATACTGGATGCATATAGTAAATTCAAGGTTATATATGCTATTAGTTTGAACTGTTGTTTCACCTTTAGTTTAGGCAAGAGCGTGGTTTCATTATAAAGTAAGACTTATTCTGAAAAATCTATTGCCCTAGTTTAGAGTGACTTGTCTCTGTAATTTGGTGGAGAGAAAAGCAGAGTTAAAACATTTAGAATGATATTAGAAATGGGTACTTTGAATCATGTAAAAGATCTTATCTATTGAGAATATTTGATATTAGATATTAGATATGGGTCTATAGAAACTTGTATGCTAACCGTTATTTAGGCTCAATTGTTGAAGAATTTCAGAACAGTGAAGATAATTTTTTATCCATATCTAATGAGAATGTGTGATGTTGTTGTGGAACTTTCCAGGTTGATGACAATTTGAAGAAGCAAAACCGTCCTTTCCTTGCTCAATTCTTCTCGCCCATCTTGCTGAAGGTTTTCAACATGCTTTGATTAAACTGACCATAATCAGAACAGCTAATAAGTGACAACCCTCTAAACTAAATTTCATTCTATATCTGCAGGCATTTTCAATTACTTTCTTTGGGGAATGGGGTGATAAGAGCCAGGTAAGCACACAACAGTGGTCAAATATCTATGATTTCATTGCGTATCACCATTTACTGTTTCTTCTTTCCAATCTAACAATCTGCAAACTAATTTTCCAGCTTGCAACTATTGGTTTGGCTGCAGATGAGAATCCATGGGGTGTTGTCCTTGGTGGAATCATGTAAGTTTATTACGGCTTTCTAACCTGGATGATACCATAGGTCCTTGTCCTCAATTTTCTTATCATGCTGATATTATTAGTGTCATCTTGTAATTCTGTGTTATTGATGTCATCTCAATTTTAGGGGCCAAAAAAGTGCTCAAGATTCTGAGAGACACTCTCCACAAAAATAAAATAAAAATTGAAAAATAAAATAAAGAAAAAGAGAAATACATTCATAAATAGCTCTGAACATAAACAATGTATTGGAATCAATAGACCTTTCAGAAGCCTGTGATCACTCTTTGTAGGAAAGGGAAGAATTAGAACTCGATAGCTGTGAGATAATTAAAAATTCTTCCAAGTGTTCCACAAACCAAGTCATCTCATGGATAATTCCATGTAAAATTATCTCACACGGCACCTTTTGTAACCATATGCTGAATTTTTCTTAGGTGTCAAGCTATTAATCAGAAAGTGTCGTGGAATTTTTCTGAAACCAAAATATGTCCAAAAGAATAATAGCTATTGCCATAAAATCTGAATTTAAAGGGAGGATATGCTCTTGTGAAGTGCTTGGCAAATATTTGCACGGCCAGCTTCCTAATTGAAGCCAATTAAAACATAGGCAGGCAATGATCTGGATGATATACACCCATTATCTCCTCATGGAAGAATACTATTGTTTTGGACTCTTTTATTGTATCCAACAAGTCAAAACTTTAACTGATCATGTTTGAATTCTTTTCCCAAGAATATCTAAAATAAAAAAAAATAGAACGAGACCATTCTTAATCCGCTTATCTTAATTCACATTCCAGATATATGTGATTTTAAGTAAATTAAAATCAATTATTCGACGTAATTAATGTTGAAGACCATATATTAACCACTAAGTAACCTGTCCAGAAAGCAAGACCCATACAATAATCTTAGTTCTAATAATATTTCATGAATTCCCATTTCCCAGAATCTCATTGCTTTCTGAAACAAGTGCGTATATTCACTCCACTGTAGAAACATAATTGTACCCAAGGATATTATGAAAGTTATGTTGAAGCAACATATTTTATTATATCATTGACCTACTAAATATTATTTGTTCTCCTCCTTGAACAATAATTTATGAATAATACCATTATTCTGTTACCCTATATGTGCGTGTTCCATTTCTCCAAAATTGTCACGGTGTGGATATTGGGAATAGATATTCTCACTACTATAAAAACGAGTTATCCAAGATATCGAGGATATTATTAACCAACAAAATGATATAAACGGCTGATATCTTAAAAACAATCAGTCCTACAAATTGAATCTAATGTCATCTCAAAATTAAGGTCATGGTAGTTCATAGAACACCAGTGTAAATGAGAGTATTTACGTTAAGGGTTTTGTCATAGGAGGTCATGTTTAATATCTCCTTTTCATTGAACATACTAAGATTTCAATGAAAAATCTTATTTTAGTGACCAAGAGTCATCCTATCTTATGGAGGTTGGCATACTACAGTAAATATAAGTATCGACTTTTGGACAACTAATCTATTTGCGAGGAACCAATAATTTTATATATTCTTGTGCGAGCAATCCCCATAAACCTAAATCATACATTATGTAATTTTGACGTTAAATGCTCACTTTATCAATGTAACTAAGATTATTTACAGAAAACGTAATAATTTATCTTATTCAAAACTTTGTTTATTACATGGATTAGAGCTCATTTTAACACCATGGCGAAATGAATTTGGAATCAGGTTGAATATAGACTGGGGTGATTGCAAAATACCCACTACTTAGTTTGGATTGTGATTTCCATTTTTGGGTCGAGTATTATAAATAGATCTTAAAAATACATGTTATCCAATTCTTCTTACAGTTTGTACTTTCACTTAGTTATGGATTGCTTTTCTACATGAATGTAAACATAATCGGACTTATGCCTCAGTATGAACTGGGTCATATGGTTACTTTGTTCTGCTGGTGGTTAGGCATCAACCTTTATATCTTTATTGCTACAAGTCATGTTTTGACTCTTTTTTACCTTTGTTAGAGGACAAGCTTTTTGTACTACTGCTGCTGTCCTGGGTGGAAAGAGTTTAGCAACTTCAATATCTGAGAGAATAGTAAGTTGCAGGAGTTGGATCTACCTTTGTCTTTCTTTTGCTTTGCCCTAATAGATTTAGTGTAATGATAATGCTGCTCTGTAACTGCAGGTTGCCCTCTTGGGTGGAGTTCTTTTTATTGTTTTTGGAATCCAATCCTTTCTTTCACCTGTTCAGTTATGATGGATGATACATTGCTAGGGTCAGTATTACTGCTTCATATCATATAACTAGTCTTTCATGACGCTTCTTTGATAAAGTAGAACAGAAATATTTACGGGAAAAACGTACAATTGGTTGTCAATCTATTGTCTGAATTGTAGTATGGTTCCCAACCTTTCAAAAGGAGCAAGTTGGTCCGCAGCTTTTCGTTTGTGTTGCGCCATAATTCTCTGTGCTGCCAAATTTTCTTTCAAAATGGCATAATTTTGTTGAATAATCTGTTATGCTTCTGTTTCCTACCAATTTCTGAACTTATGATTTGTTAATTGCATGCAGAAAGTGAAGATGATCTATTGATGAACCTAATGCGATTTGACAATGTGACAATTGTCTTCATTTGCCGAGTGGCAAGGATTTGGGCTTCTGTGATAGATGAAAAATGATTATTGAAATACTCGTATTTTGCATTATATAGGATAAGACATGCCTCATCATAGGCAACTATGTTATTGCTTTGACATCTATTTGTATGCTGTAGCATGTTAATTTCTTCAAACATGGTTTGGCCTTACGACTTTATTCTTCAATGAGGCATTCCTAGCCCCTATTTCGTGGCGCCATTATTTGATAAAAACATATTTTGAATAGTGAATTTTTTAAGAATGCGTGGTTTAAGTACGGAAATACTTTGAATTTATGCACAAAATATTTTAGTGTGATTGTATGGTTGAAAATAAATATGTAGAAAACAGAGTTTTGAAATAATGATCGTCAAACAGGGGCTTAACATGCTCCGGAAGGATTCGTAATCCAATTGCTATGTAATGCTGTCATAATTTTTGGGGTGCTATAGTGATGTGATTCATGGAATTAAAGCAACGAATACAAGTCAGGGTAAAGATCTGTTGGTTGTTGAAGAGGGATCAATGACTAGTTCCAGGGCAAACAGGTTAAAGAAGCTATGTGATTATTGGTGGAGTTGCAATGGACAAAATATCAATCTTAGCAAGCAAAAGAGCAAGTTTCATGTTGGACTCGAGTGAGGAAACGAGTTGGATCAGTGTGATTCGAGCAATAAACGAAGGCAGCCACTCGAACAACTATGCGACCAGCTATGCGATTGCATAGCCATTTTCAGAAAAATCAGAGGCAGAAGCAGCTTTTATGCGATCGCGTGGATTAATACGAAGCGGTTGCATAGTGTAAAATTGTGACGAATTTTTCAAATTTTGCAAGATCTTCTCTATAAATAGTGCATATTATTTCATTGTAAGAATAACTTTTATCATATTCAATTGAAAGGCAAATTGCTTTCATCTTGTTCTTCATTGAACTAATTTACCGAATTTATCAAGTTTTAAATTTTGTGGCATTCAAACAAAGCGGGTGAGATTTGCAAGTCTTCTGATCAAGAGGTCAACATATTGTCGACGATTTGTTAGTTGCTTAGTTCAATATTTTTGAATAAATCTTAAAACTTCGGTTTATTGGCTTCCTTGGGTGTGATTCAATCTCATGTGAATTTCATAATTTCAATTGTTACGTGAGTTCGTATCAGAGCTTATGCTCTAAAAATCAAGGTTATATACTTTTGTTTTTTTTGGTTGAGTCTTTGTTTTCTTTTCTTCATATTTTTCATCTGTTTGAGTTTTTAATCCATAAAAGTTCCAAAAAAAATTCAAAAGTTTTCTTTGTGCTTGTTTAGCACCCAAATCAATTTTCATATGTTTTGCTAGTTTTGTAGTGGAATTTTCGCGCAAAAAAATTTTTAAAAAAAAAAAAAAAAAAAATTCAAGAACCACTTTCTTGAATTAAATGTTTCCATTCAAAAGTGTCCAATTCTTTTGATTCTTTATTTTCTTTCTTTCTTGAGTCTTTTAAAGTTATAATTGTCGCTCACATTCAATTATTGAATTAAAAGTTTTCATTCGAAAGTGTCCAATTCTTTTGATTCTTTATTTTCTTTCTTTCTTGAGTCTTTGAAAGTTATAATTCTCGCTCACATCCTAGTTTGAATTCTTCGAAAATAAGACTTGGTCGAGTCCGAATTAGTTTTTTGAAGCACTTGGATGAAAGCATTGAATTGAAAAAAAGCAAGAATGGTGAGACTAATAGAGAAAAAAAAGTCAATTTAAGTGATACACGAGCGTATACACGTGAGACATATATTACTTTAGATTTAGGATGTCATAACGAGAGACGATTCAACATCAAATAGGAACAACAATCAAGTTAACATGCTAGAAGAGTTGATATGGCGACTTGAAAAGTTGTTTGAAGATGTGACAGATAGGCTGGATAGGTAGAATGCATAGATGGAGAGGTAAGACCCATTGCTTGCCAATTTATGTAGGGGAGTTCCTAATGTAAGGAGGCAAGGTAGGCGAGAGCCTAGGATAGAGAATCGTAGTGATTATAATGAGGTAGTGGAATGGATGAGGATGTGATAGTGGATGTCGAGTTCAGGAGAGTAAGAGATAGAGGAGTTACGCATGAAAGGAAGGGCAGAGAACATATGTGAGATGGAGTTGATGGTAGTATGGGCAACATTAAAATGACAATTCCTTCATTTAAAGGAATGAGTGATTCGGAAGCCTACTTCTAGTGGGAAAAGAAAGTTGAATTAATATTTGATTGCCACAACTACTCAGAGGAAATGAAGGTAAAGATTGCGATACTTGAGTTCGTTGATTATACTATTACTTGGTGGGATCAAGTAGTGACACCTAGGAGGATGAATCGTGCGAGGCCAATTAACATATGGGAAGAGTTGAAGGTCATAATGAGGAAGAGGATCATGCCTAGTCATTACGATAGAAAGTTTCATAAAAAATTATAAAGCCTCTACCAAGGGTCTAGGAGTGTGGAGGACCATCACAAGGAGATGGAGATAATAATGATTAAACGAGTGTCGAGGAGGATAGGGATGCCACTATGACTCGATTTTTGAATGGTTTGAATAGGGAAATTAGAGTTGCAACATTATATGAAGTGGAGGACATGCTATGTATGGATATGAAGGTGGAGAGGCAATATAAGAGAAAAGAGATAGACCCATCGGGTTCTTCGGGTTCTAATCCTTCTTGAAAATCAAAGTGGAATAGTAATAAGGAAGATAGGGCTATTTCGAAGAGCAATGTTGAACTATCGAAAGGGAAAGAGGAAAGTACTAGCAATGTTACATCCAAAGTGGAACCCCAGCCATCTAGGAGTCGAGCATCAAATGCTTTAGATGTTTGGGATAGGGACACATTGCTTTTCAATGTCCAAACAAAAGGACAATGATTTTGCGCGACAATGGAGAAGTGGTGAGCGAAAGTGAGGGTAACTACGATGACATGTCGAAATTAGAAGAAGCTAGTGATGGAGAAAGGTGAAGTATGTAGTTGAAGAGCTAATGTTACAAGATGAGCTCTTGGTGCTCAAATCAAGGCTGATAACTTGGAGTAACAAAGGGAGAACATATTCTATATGTGGTGCCACATCAATGACAATGCATGATTATTTATGGGGGGTAGTTGTACTAATGTGGTTAGCACTATACTTGTTGAAAAATTGGGGTTAACCATGCTAAAACACCCTAAACCTTATTGGCTTCAATGGTTGAATGAATGTGGAGAGGTTAAGGTGAATAAGAGGGTGTTGGTGAATTTCTCAATTGGTAGCTATTGTGATGAAGTGATGTGTGACGTAGTTCATATGCATGTCGGGCACATTTTATTAGGTAGGCTGTGGCAATATGATAGGAAGATGACAGATGATGGTTACAAAATTAGGTATAACTTTATCAAGGACGGGAAATCTATTACCATTGCTCCATTAATATTGGCACAAGTGTATGAGGATCAAATCAAATTGAAACATGAGGAAGAGAGAAGAGTGTGAGAGAAAATAGTGATGTGGCTAGGAGTGAAAAAACGAACAGAGCTACAAGTGCGAAAAGAAAAATAGTCTTTTGAGAGAAGAGAAAACTCGAAAGTGAATTTCTTTGCGAAAGGGAATGAGTTGAAGTGGGCAATAGTTAAGAGTCGACCAATGGTCTTGTTGGTCTACAAGGAATCCCTCCTCAATTTTGAGGAAACGCACCACTCCCTAGTTTGGCTACTTCTTTGTTGCATAATTTCGAAGACTTGTTCACAGAGGACATGCATATTGGGTTACCACCCATTCGAGGTATCGAACATCAAATTGACATCATACTTGGGGCTGTCATTTCAAACCGACCGACTTATCGAAGTAATCTCCTGGAGACCAAGGAACTTCAAAAGCAAGTGGAGAAATTGATGAGCAAAGGGTATGTAAGGAAAAGTATGCGCCGTGCCAGTACTACTAGTGCCAAAGAAAGATGGGACCTAGAGAATGTGTGTAGATTGCAGGGTCACCGACAACATAACAGTCGAGTATTGTCATCATATTCCAAGGTTAGATGACATGTTGGATGAATTATATGGCACATGCATATTTAGTAAAATTGGTCTAAAAGTTATCACCAAATCAGAATGGGGGAAGGAGACGAGTGGAAAACTGCTTTTAAAACTAAATATGGACTGTATGAGTGGTTAGCTATGCCGTTTGGACTTACGAATATATTGACGAATCATGTTTTGCATTCATTCATAGGTAAATTTATAGTGGTTTACTTCGATGATATCTTAATTTAAGTAAGGACTTAAATGAGCATAAGGCATTTACGATGTGTGCTTATGGTTTAAAGTGTTGATTTTGCATGAAAAAAGTTGTGTTTCTTGGGTGTACAGTTAGTGGAAAAGGGATAGAAATAGATGAGACGGAATCGCCAACACCCAAAAGTATAACTGAGATAGGAAGTTTCCTCGATTTTGCTAGTTTCTATAGGCATTTTCTTAAAGACTTTAGCACAATCGCCACACCACTCATGGACATCGTAAAGAAAAGTGTAAGATTTCATTGGGGCGTTAAGCAAGAACATGCATTTGATACTATTAAATATATGTTGTGTAAAGCATCAGTTTTATCGCTTCCTAATTTTGAAAAAACTTTTGAGATTGAATGTGATGCCCCAAGGATAGGAATTGGAGCTATTTTAATGCAGGATAGAAAGTCAATAGCTTACTTTAGTGAAAAGCTTAGTGGGACAGCTCTTAATTATCCTACATATGATAAGGAGTTGTATGCAGTTGTTCGAGCTTTGTAGACATGACAGCACTACTTATAACCAAAGTAGTTTGTAATTCACATCGATCATGAGTCCTTGAAGCATTTGAGAGGTCAAGGTAAGCTAAACAAGAGGCATACAAGATAGATGGAATTTATTGAGACATTCCCATATCCGTTGTAGTAGATGCATTGCCAAGACGGTATGTGCTTCTAACTTCCTTGGGCGCTAAATTGCTTGAGTTTAAATATGTTAAGGACATGTGTGCAAATGACCCAAATTTTTCTAATACGTAGGAATCATGTGATATATGGGTTGTTGATAGGTTCTTTAGGCATGATGGTTATCTATTTCGGGATGAGAGAGTTGTTAGTAAGGGAAGCACATAGTAATAGGATATTTTGTGGTTAAGAAGACCTTAGAGATCCAGGTGAGCATTTTTATTGGTTTAAGATGAAAATTGATATTTATCAGGTTTGTAGTAGATGTATCACTTGTAAAAAGGCTAAATCTAAGGATTTACCCCAACAATTGTATATACCTCTACCTGTTCCCAATGGACATTGGGTTGATATTTCTATGGATTTTGTATTGGATTTACCTAGGACTAAGAAATGACGAGATTCATTATTTGTAGTGGTAGATAGATTTAGTGAAATGACACATTTCATTTTATGTCATAAAATTTCACAAATATAGCGGATTCATTCTTTAATGAAGTAGTGCGTTTACATGAGATTCTTAGGAGTATTGTATCGGATAGGGATGCCAAATTCATTAGTCACTTTTGGAGAGTATAAGTTAGGCATGAAGTTATTGTTCTCTACAACTTGTCACCGACAAATCGATGGACAAACTGAGTAATTAATAGGATCATGATACAATTGCTACGCATTGTAGTTAATAAAAGTTTGAGGAGTTGAGAAGAGTGCTTACCATTCATTGAGTTTGCATATAATAGGGCCACACATTCTACTACTTCTTGTTCGCCCTTTGAAATTATATATGGTTTTAATTCACTCACACATTTGGATTTAATTCCTTTACCTGTTAATGAATGACATAGTTCAGATGGAATGAATAAGGCCGAATTGGTGAAATCACTTCATGGGAAGGTAAGAATGCAAATTGAAAAAAAAAAAGCACTATGCATTGCAAGCAAACAAAGGCCGAGAAAGAGTG